GTACTCCCAGGCTCAGCACCCCCAGGCTCCGCACCCCAAGGCTCAGCACCCCCAGGCTCCGCACCACCAGGCTCCGCACCCCCAGGAAGAGAGGCGGGGGGGGGAGCGGGGCAGTGCGGTAGGGGAAGAGGCGGTAGTAGGGGACGGACTCGTCAAAAGTGACGTCCTGAGAGGGCAAGACTCGGCGCGAGGTGGCGTGGTAAAGCTGCCATCCAGGCGCGTCCGGGACAAAGCGGTGGAAGACGCAGGGAACAGCACGGGAGGAGAGCTTGTCCGCAGACGTATCGCGGACAAAAGCAGTAGTAGTAGGAGTAATAGTAGTAGGGGCACCCCAAAAACAGTAGGCAGTGCGACTCAAGTAGGGCGGCTCGGTCCAGTACGGGCGGCTCGGTTCAGGTAGGGCGGCGCGGCTCGGGAAGGGCGGCGCGGCTAGGTTCGGGCGGCGCGGCTCGGTTTGGGCTGGGCGGCTCGGTTCGGGCGGCTCGGTTCGGGCGGCTGGGTTCGGGCGGCTCGGTTCGGGTGGCTCGGTTTGGGCTGGGCGGCTCGGTTCGGGCTGCTCGGGTCGGGCGGCTCGTTCTGGGGAGGGCCGTTTGGGGCCTCTAGGGGCGAGCGCGGGGCCGTAAGGGGCCGCTAAGGGCGAGCGCGGGGCCGATCGGGGCCTCTAGGGGCGAGCGCGGGGCCGTAAGGGGCCGCTAAGGGCAAGCGCGGGGCCGTTCGGGGCCTCTAGGGGCGAGCGCGGGGCCGTAAGGGGCCGCTAAGGGCGAGCGCGGGGCCGACCGGGGCCTCTAGGGAGGTGAGCGCGGGGCCGACGGGGCCGTTAGGGGTGATCGCGGGGCCGACAGGGTCTCTAAGGGGCGAGCGCGGGGCCGTAAGGGGCGATCGCGTGGGCCGACGGGGCCTTAAGGGGCGGCGCGCGAGTAGCTAAGGGGTGGGTCGCGGGTCGCGGGGCCTTAGGGGGCCGTGAAAAACGAACGGTCCTAGCGAAGGACCTGCTCTATACCATGTTGAAATGAACGAACAGGAATGGTTGAACTAATAGTGAAATCAGTACAAGTACCTAACCCTAGAATTGTGTACCCCCTATAGGCTAACCCACTGTAGCCTAAACAAGCACAACATATATAATGTTTGACAGTGACCTCTTGTTCTCCCCCACTTTGCCTATGGGGGTGTATCAAACTCATATTATATAGCTTGTGTAGGCTATAGTGGGGTAGACACTACGGGGTACAGTTTCCTAGGGTTTCCTACTTGTACCCAACTTTGTGCTAGTTTATTTCATTCCTCAATTCTCACAACAAATTGGTCGACTTTCAAGTCGACTGCACGTCGGAACTTTGTCGAATGCTGAACCGACCATTTTTTTTTTTAGATATGGCGGGATTTGGCGAACTCGACGACAATTTTTGCGAGTGTCGCAAACTTGTTACTTTCGCTAATTCCGGCCGGCCGGATTTTTCCGACAATGGATCTGGCGCACCCTTAGGGCACCCTTAGGGGAACCTGGATGCATTTTCGGGATGGATCAACCCTAAAAACAGGAAGCTTCGTTGTGTTTAGGGTTGATGCCTCCCTAGTCGCATCCATTTTCGAATGGGTAATATATTTCTTTTTTCTGCGCGTTTTGTCAGAATATTATCTTATTGTTCTAGCCTGTAGTGGGGTGCTCTATAGCGAGTACAACCCTTCTAGGGTTTGCTATTTGTATCCTCATTCTTGCTAGTTCAATCCTCTTTCTTCCTTCAAACTTTGACACGTTTCCGATCAGGGAGTGATATTTATCACCCATAATGAATTTGTTTTTGGACTCAGAAATTAATACAACAATATTTACTTCCAGAAGAACACGATGTGCACGTAGTAGTAGACGGCGGTCGTAACCATTGTTTCAATAAGTTGGATATAAAGTTTGGTGCTGGTAGCATTTATATTTTAGTTATGGTTCGGCTTGTTCGCCTAGCCTCTTGGGCAGCTCGGGGTCGAAATCCTACGGTCGAGATTTTCTCGCCCCACTTTGGTCATCCCGCTGGCACTCTTCGGCCCCAGTTTGATCATTTCCCATTCGAAAAGAGGGGAGGAGGAATGGAAAGAAAGGATATGTGAAATTGCTGACCAATGGCGCGTAAAAAGTGAACATTTGCGGGATGTCGATGAATGTTAAAGCCCGAGTTCTACATGGCGCTTTTCAAATTCATGATTCTTGAATATGAACTTGCCAAAAACTGTCAAACTTATATGCTATAGTCTGTGTAGGCTGTAGTGGGGTAGACAATATGGGGTACAACATTTCTAGGTTTTCCTACTTTTACCCACCTCTTTCCTAGTTGATTCAATTTTTCCTCATTCTTCACATGGTATCAGAGCAGGTTCCCTCATGGGAGCGCTTCTCAGGGCCCACCACTAAACTCGACCTTTCTTTTCCTGCCCGAGGCGCGCCCCGTAGGCCGCCCTCACGTCGCGCCCTCCTAGAGGCCTCTCGCGCCACCCTTAGTGGCCCCGTCGCCACCCCTTACGGCCCCGTCGCCGGCCTTTGCGGCCCCGTCCCTGCCCCTCTAGGCCCCTCACGGCCCCTTCGCGGCCCCTTCGCCGCCCCTCTAGGCCCCTCACGGCCCCTTCGCGGCCCCGTCACCGCCCCTCTAGGCCCCGTCGCCGCCCCTCTAGGCCCCTCGCGGCCCCTTTGCGGCCCCGTCACCGCCCCTCTAGGCCCCTCGCGGCCCCTTTGCGGCCCCGTCGCCGCCCCTCTAGGCCCCGTCGCCGCCCCTCTAGGCCCCTCGCGGCCCCTTGACGGCCCCGTCGCCGCCCCTCTAGGCCCCGTCGCCGCCCCTCTAGGCCCCTCGCGGCCCCTTCACGGCCCCGTCGCCGCCCCTAGCGGCCCCGTCGCTGCCCCTATCGGCCCCGTCGCCGCCCCTTGCGGCCACGTCGCCGCCTTTCGCGGCCCCGTCGCCACCCATAGCGACCCCGTCGCCGCTCTTCGCGGCCCCGTCGCCGCCTCTAGCGGCCCCCGACGCCGCCCTTTGCGGCCCCTTCGCCGCCTCTACCGGCCCCGTCGCCGCCCTCTACCGGCCCCTTCACCGCTGAGCAGCCCAGCAGCCGAGCAGCCGAGCCACCCAGCAGCCGAGCCGCCGAGCCGCCGAGTCGCCCAGCACCTGAGCCGCCGAGCCGCCGAGACGCCCAGCACCCGAGCCGCCGAGCCGCCCAACAGCCGAGCTGCCGAGCCGCCCAGCAGCCGAGCCGCCGAGCCGCCCAGCCGCCGAGCCGCCCTGCCGTCGAGCCGCTACTGTCACTGCCGAGCCGCTGCCACAGCGGTTACAGCCCTGTTCCTACCGGCGCACCCCGGCCCTACTCACTCGGACTGTCAGAATATTATCTTATTGTTCTAGCCTGTAGTGGGGTGCTCTATAGCGAGTACAACCCTTCTAGGGTTTGCTATTTGTATCCTCATTCTTGCTAGTTCAATCCTCTCTCTTTCTTCCTTCTAATTTTGACATGGTATCAGAGCAGGTCGATCCCCCTGGATCGATCCTGTGGGTGGGTTTCCACCTCGCTTCCGCTGCTACCTTTCCTTCCCGCCGTGCGCCCCGAGGCGCGCGGCGGTTTTCCTTCCCGCCGTGCGCCCCGAGGCGCGCGGCGGTTTTCTGCCCGCCGTGCGCCCCGGGGCGCGCGGCGGTTCTTTGCCCGCTGTGCGCCCCGGGGCGCGCGGCGGGCGTCTGCTCTACGTCGCGGCCCCGCCCTACGTCGCTGCCCTGCTCGACCGTCGCGGCCCCACCCTACGTCGCGGCCCTGCCCCTCGTCGCGGCCCCGCCCTGTGTCGCGGCCCCGCCCCTCGAAGCGGCCCTGCCCGACCGTCGCGGCCCCGCCCTACGTCGCGGCCCTGCCCGACCGTCGCGGCCCCGCCCCTCGTCGCGGCCCCGCCCCTCGTCGCGGCCCCGCCCTGTGTCGCGGCCCCGCCCCTCGAGGCGGCCCCGCCCTACGTCGCGGCCCCGCCCCGACCGTTGCGGCCCCGCCCTACCTTCGCGGCCCCGCCCTACCTGTCGCGGCCCCGCCCTGACCGTCGCGGCCCCGCCACTCGTTGCGGCCCCGCCCCTTGTCGCGGCTCCGCCCTCCAATCAGGTCCGTGGTGGGCCCTTTCCTCCACACCCCCCCCCCCCCCCCCCCCCCCTCCCTCCCATTTCCCGTCGTCTGTCGAGGCGACCTGAGGGGCGAGCTGTGGGGTGGCGGGTATGGGGGTGGTCGGTGTGCCTTCCTCCCTTTCTCCTCCTCCTCCTTCGTCTCCCACTGCTGCAGCTGTCGCTGAGGGGGGTGGTTGTGTGGGAGACTGGGTTTAGGGTTTAAGGGGGGTGTGTGGGAGTAGAGCTAGTGGTGTAGCAGTGGGTGTGTATCAGGGGGGTGGGACTGTGTGCGGGAGGATGAGCGGAGGTTGCCAGTTTGTCGTCAGCAGCACCTGTAGTCCGGGGCGCTGTCCCGGTAGCCCAGTCGTAGCCAGCTGTGCCAGCCGCCCGTGGGTCCGTTGCCCGTCCGCCGCTATTTGAGCCGCGGGGCCTGTTTCTCCTGTAGTCCGGGCGCTGTCCGGTAGCCGCTGTGCCAGTCTGCCTCCTGTTGCCCGTGTGTCTGCAGCTTCAGCCGTCGCCTCCTGTCTCCTCTCCCCTCACTCTCCCTCCTCCTCCTCACTTGCCGTTGTGACTACCACTAGCTTTGCTTATAATTGTAAACTCTAAACTATTTCTTCTTGAACTTGTGCTCAGAATGTGTGGTGACATTGTGATCCACCCTGAGCTTGTTTTGCTTTGCCTGCTCTGCTGATTACACCCCACTTTGGCTATGGGGGTGTGTCAGAATATTATCTTATTGTTCTAGCCTGTAGTGGGGTGCTCTATAGCGAGTACAACCCTTCTAGGGTTTGCTATTTGTATCCTCATTCTTGCTAGTTCAATCCTCTCTCTTTCTTCCTTCTAATTTTGACACGGACTGGTGAGATCACTCCTTGCTAGACCACTGCTGTCATGGCTACCCCTAGTGTTCTTACCTTTGATGCTGAGGGTCGTGCTGTTGACTTTGAGGTCAGGGTCGATCACCTCCAGCTTTTCCTACAGTGCGATAGGGCAGACGGACTCTCCCTATTCGATCTCACCTCTGGTGCCTCTCCTGCCCCGCCTACTGATGCTGACAGCACTGTTCGCTCACAGTGGGCCACACGCGATGCTGCTGCCCGTCTTGCTGTGCGTCGCCACTTACCGACCACTGAGCGTGCGCACTTTAGTCAGTACAAGAGTGCTAAGACCTTGTACGACGCTGTAGTTGCACGCTACTCTTCCCCTGCCACTGCTGCTCTTAGCAGCCTCATGCTGCCTTTCCCACAGTCGCTGACCTCATTACGCACCTTCGCACTAGTGACACTTGCTACTGCGCTGCGCTTCCTGCTGAGTTCTGTGCCAAGAACCCCCCTCCCATGTACATCACCCTCTACTACATAGTCACCCGGCTCCCTGACTCCCTTCGCTTAGTCAGGGACCACTTCCTCTTAGTTTGCCCCACCACACTCACCGTTGACCTCCTCGAGGAGTGCCTCCTAGTAGCACAGAAGAGCATAGTCGCTGTAGGAGCCTCTCGTGGTGACCCTCGCACCCCCGTCTTTGAGGGGTGTTCCCCCTCCCCCCTCTTGCCCTCTGTTGCTTCTGCTGCTGCGGCCGACCTCGTTGGTTTCGAGTCGGTCGGCGCTGCGTCTCCCCCTAGCGGGAGACGCCGCACCGGCAAGGGCAAGGAGGGCAAGGGCGCTGGAGGGGCTGGCGAGGGCGGTGGAGGTGATGGTGGAGGCAGTGGAGGGGGTGGGGGTGGTGGTGGGAGTGGTGGCGGGGGTGGAGGTGTCGGTGGCAGCAGTGGAGGCGGAAGAGGCGGCGGCGGTGGCGGAGGGAGCGGAGGCGGCAGAGGTGGCGGAGGCGGCGGAGGTGGCGGAGGCGTCGGAGGTGGCGGAGGCGGCGGCGGCAGTGGTGGAGCTAGTCGCGGCTCTGCGTAGAGGAGTGGTTTTGGTGGTGGTCCGCGCCAGCAGCAGCAGCGCACTCGTGAGACCCTGTCCCCCCAGCAGCTTCTTGAGTGGTACGCTGGGCGTCAGCGAGGTGGGGGTACTGGTCCCTGTACCTACGTCCTCCGTACCGCCGACCGCGCTGGTGAGCAGTGCGGGGGCCCGCACTCCACCCAGCGCTGGTTTGGCCGCCTGACGGACGCGTGGCGTCACCAGTTCCCTGACGCCACTGAGATCCCTCGCTGGGGAGTGCTGTCTCGGGCGGGGGTTGCTATCTTTGATCTTGATTATGATACTATTCTTGCTGCCATGTATGCTGTGTCTGCTAGTGATGAGGGTGACTGTTACCTGTGTGTTCCGCCTGACCCGGGCATTGAGGCTGCTGCTCTAGGTGCTGGTGAGGCTGCTGCTCTAGGTGCTAGTGCGTCTGCTGCCCCAGGTGCTGGTGAGTCTGCTCTCTCAGGTACCACGTCGGCTCAGGCCTTACACACCTTCACCCTTGACTCGGGTGCTTCCCGCTCCTTCTTTCGAGACCGCACCACGCTTACGCCGCTTAGTCGGCCAGTTGCGGTCTCCCTGGCAGTCCCCTCTGGGGGTCGTGTTCTTGCTAGCTTCTCCACTGTCTTACCGTGTCCGGCAGCCCCCTCTGGCACCCTGTCAGGTCTCTACCTCCCCTCGTTCTCTACGAACTTGGTGAGTGGTGCTGATCTACAGGATCGGGGGGTTGACCAGTTCACTCCTGCGTGTCAACGGGTGACCCACTGTACGTGTGCTCGGACGGGCCGACACTTGGCCACGTTTACCCGTCGACCAGGGTTGAGCCTGTACACACTGACTAGTGAGTCTCCTCCGGTTGCTGAGTCAGGTTAGGTAGCTGCATCGAGTCAAGTGTTTGTTGCAGCGTCCAGGTCTGGTCCTGAGTCTGCTCCCTGCTCGTGTCGTCTCCTGTCCCACCAGACTCTCCTTTGGCACCAGCGCCTTGGTCACCCCTCCCTGCCTCGTCTCCGAGGCATGGCCTCCCGCGTCCTTGTCTCTGGTCTCCCCCGGTCCCTCCCTCCCCTACCTACGGGGCCTGCCCCTACCTGCGTTCCCTGCGTCGAGGGGCGGCAGCGCGCCGCCCCTCACTCCTCCGAGTTTCGGCTCGGACTTTCCTGTTCTGCGTCTGCACTCTGATAGAGGCGCGGTGTTTTCCTCTGCCCGTCTGGGAGCCTTGTGTCGTGCACAGGGCATCCGCCGGGCCTTCACGCTTTCGGCCCCTCCACAACAAAATGGGATTGCTGAGCGCCGCATTGGCATGGTCATGGACGTCGCTCGTACGTCCATGATCCATGCGGCAACCCCCCATTTTCTCTGGCCGTTTGCGGTTCAGTACGCAGCGCATCAGCTCAACCTTCAGCCCCGGGTCTCCTTGCCAGAGACCTCCCCCACCTTGCGGTGGACGGGGAAAGTTGGCGATGCGTCTGCGTTTCGGGTCTGGGGATATCGGGCGTTTGTCCGCGACTTGTCTGCGGACAAGCTGTCCCCCCGTGCTATTCCCTGCGTCTTCCTTGGCTTCCCCCCTGACGCGCTTGGGTGGCAGTTTTACCACCCCACCTCGCGCCGTGTTCTGTCCTCCCAGGACGTCACCTTTGACGAGTCGGTGCCTTACTACCGTCTCTTCCCCTACCGCGATGCGCCCCTCCCTTCGCCGCCGCTCTTCCTTGCGCCAGGTCCTCCCCCGGTTGACCCCCTCCCCTGTCAGGGTCCTGCCCCGTCAAGTGTGTCCCAGGTAGACGCAGTGGAGCCTGTCGAGGTAGCTGTTGACTCTGGTGCTGCTAGAGGTGCTGAGCCTGCGGGTGCCGGGTCTGGAGGTGCTGAGCCTGGGGGTGCGGAGCCTGGGGGTGTTGAGTCTAGGGGTGCGGAGCCTGGGGGTGCTGAGCCTGGGGGTGCTGAGTATGGGGGTGCTGAGCCTGGGGGTGCTGAGCCTGGGGGTGCGGAGCCTGGGGGTACGGAGCCTGGGGGTGCTGGGTCTGCTCGTGTGGCCTCTCGCGGTGCTTCGTCGAGGCGGGAGCTACTCTCTCCGCAGGAGTTGCGCGAGTGGTTTGCCCGGCGCTGGAGCCGTGCTGCTGGAGCTGGAGGTGCTACTGTTGCTGCTGGTCCTGGAGGTGCTAATACAGGTGAAAGTGGAGCTGCTGGGACTGGGGGTGCTGCTGGGGCTACTTGAGTTGGTCCTACTGGAGGTACTACTGGAGCTGCTGGCGGTACTGGAGCTGACGGTCCTGCTGGAGCTGGAGCTGCTATAGCCGGAGCTGCTGGGGGTGTTGGCGCTGGTGGTGCTACTGGCTCTGGTGCTTCTGAGGGTGTTGGAGTTGGCGGTGTTGGAGCTGGAGCTGCTGCTGGCGCTGGTGCTGCTGCTGGGGGTACTAGTGCTGTCCCTATAGGTTCTAGAGGCGTTGCGCGGCCGCGGCCGTACTTTGTTCCGCTCCTTGAGCAGGTTCTTGGTCTCCCGCCTTCTACTGGTCCTGCTCCTCCCTTAGAGTGTCCACAGCCTGTCCAGTCGCGGTCACAGTTACAGCCCACCTCCCCCTGCCTGCTCCTTCTCCCTACACTGGTCCTACTGGAGGTCTTGCTGAGCGTTGTGAGCCTGCGTCTCGTCCTGCGTCGCCTGTTCGTCCTGCTCGCACTAGTAGTCGTGCTCCGCGTCCGCGTCCTCCTGCGGTCCCAGGCACACACCGGATAGCACTGCGTCCTTCCACTGCTCCTCTGCGTGTCCCGTTGCCGTCTCCTCTACAGTCCTCTCTTCCTGTCCTTTCTGACCCGTAGTCTGACTCTCGTCGTGCTGCCAGTCCTACTGTCACGCGTCTCCTGGCTACTGTTGTCACTGACCCTTCCTTTGATACCACTACTGCGTCTGCCTTAGTTGCAAAGCTTGTCGACTTTGCTGCTCGCTGTCGTCTAGACTATGCTGCTAGTCTTGTTGCTGAGTCTGAGTGTGTCTGTCCTTCGTCCGTCGGGGGTGAGTGTGCTCTTAGCACAGACGTCGTTGAGGACAGGCAGGAGGAGTTCCAGTGTTTTGCTGCTGCTTTGCCTCATCTCGTGTCCACGCTGATTGCCCCTAAGGGAGACCCGGATGCACCAGACATCCCGACTCCTCGATCGTACGCTGAGGCGATCGAGGGTCCCTACTCCTCACAGTGGCAGTCAGCCATGGACGCAGAGATGGCTTCTTAGAAGTCCACAAGCACCTACGTCGACGAGGTTCCCCCACCTGGGGCGAACATCGTCAGTGGCATGTGGATTTTCAGGGTGAAGCGGCCGCCGGGTTCTCCGCCTGTCTTCAAGGCGCGTTACGTGGCTCGAGGCTTCAGTCAGCGGCAGGGAGTTGACTACTTTCAGACCTTCTCTCCCACCCCGAAGATGACCACTCTTCGGGTGCTGCTGCACATAGCCGCTCAGCGCGTCTACAAGCTTCACTCTCTTGACTTCAGCACGGCTTTCCTACAGGGCAGCCTGCACGAGGAGATCTGGCTGCGCCGCCCACCTAGCGTCACTGGGTCGTTTCCCCCTAGTACCCAGTGGAGCCTCAGGCGGCCAGTCTACGGTCTCCGCCAGGCGCCCCGTGAGTGGCACGACACACTGAGGACTACACTTGCGGCTCTTGGGTTTGCTCCTTCTACAGCCGACCCGTCGCTGTTTCTGCGCACCGACACCTCTTTGCCACCGTTCTACATCCTCGTGTACATCGATGACTTGGTCTTTGCCACTGCTGACACTGCTGGACTCGCCCACGTGAAGTCTGAGCTGCAGAAGAGACACACGTGCACAGACCTGGGTGAACTGCGCAGCTACCTTGGCTTGCAGATCACCCGGGACAGAGCACAGCTCACCATTACCCTTACTCAGTCACACATGGTGCAGCAGGTCCTTCAGCGCTTCGACTTCACGTACTCCTCGCCTGAGGCCACTCCTCTGTCTACTCGCCACTCGCTCTCAGCTCTGCCTTCGGATGAGTCCGTAGAGCTGAGTGGCCCGTACCCAGAGCTTGTTGGCTGCCTCATGTACCTGATGACCTGCACACGACCTGACCTTGCATACCCTCTTAGCATCTTGGCACGCTATGTTGCTCCTGGGAGACACCGACCAGAGCACATGGCTGCAGCGAAGAGGGTGTTGCGCTACTTGTGCAGTACGTCGGGCATGGGGATAGTGCTTGGAGGGCGACGTCGAGTGGTCCTCACAGGTCACGCAGACGCTTCTTGGGCTGACGACCAGGCTACGCAGCGGTCGTCACAAGGTTACACCTTCAGCCTTGGCTCCGGCTCTGTTTTGTGGCGGTCTACCCGCTCGTCTTCTGTTCTCGGCTCCAGCTGTGAGGCTGAGATCTACGCGGGGGCCATGGCTGCACAGGAGCTACGCTGGCTCACCTACCTGCTGATTGACCTAGGAGAGCCGCCTCGTTCTCCTCCAGATCTGTACGTAGACAACAAGGCCATGCTGGCCTTGTGTCGGGAGCACATGCTGGAGCACAGAACGAAGCACATTGCTCTTCGCTACTTCCTTGCTCGTAAGCTGCAGCAGCGTGGTCGGCTGCGCCTTGCTTACGTGGCCTCTGAGGCCAACACTGCTGATATCTTTACCAAGGCACTTCCGCCTTGTGATCATCAGCGCTTCTGTACGATGCTAGGTCTTGTGCCTACTTGGACTCACTTGCTGACTTCTTGACCTTGCTTGTACTGTGATCTTTCTATATCTGCACTTGCTTGTTTACCTTTATATATGATCTTGCATGTGAACTGGCCTTGTGGCCTTGCTCATGTGCTCGGACTATGTGGTGACGTTGTGATCCACCTTGAGCTTTTTTTGCTTTGCTTGACTGGTCTTGTGACCTCTTGTTCTCCCCCACTTTACCTATGGGGGTGTGTCAAACTTATATGCTATAGTCTATGTAGGCTGTAGTGGGATAGACAATATGGGGTACAACATTTCTAGGTTTTCCTACTTGTACCCACCTCTTTCCTAGTTGATTCATTTTTTCCTCATTCTTCACAAAAACCAGGTATCCACCCAAGGGAAAGCTTCTCGTCGCCTCCCAGAGGAGGTGACTTCACCACTCTGAGAGCTGATTGGCCAGCGACAAAACAAGTACTCCGCGTGAAGTGTGAAGGGGAGTTGGAGCACTATTCACATTCAGTAAACTTGAAAACCAAGTTTTACTAATGTGCAACCATACTGAGCCTAAGATACTAGTGCACTGCGCTCTTCAGGACCACAAGAGGGCGTAAGATCTCACGTGGACAATGGCAGCGAGATGTCTCTATCCTTGCAGCAACCAGTTTGTTTTGGCCAACAACAAAAAACAAATTAGCTAGCATAAAGAAAAACGTCATGCCGCGTCACGCCCACCTCTATAGGGAGGATGGCGCATGTATGTGCGTTCGAAGTGCACGGATCGGGCGCTTGCCTCACATGTACGTTCGACGCACCGCTTCCGTCCGTCGCGCTCCCTTCCGCGTGCCTGCACTCCAATGCAACTGTCGCTGTGTCTTACGCCCATCAAACTCCCTCCCGCCGTCGCCCTTCTGCCCGTCGCTCTCCCTAGCGCTCTTCGCACTCCCTTCCGCCGTCGCCCTCCCTTCCTCCCGTCACCTTCCCTTCCGCCCGTCGCCCGTCGCCTTCCCTTCCGCCCGTCGCCATCCCTTCCGCCCGTCGCCATGCCTTCAGCCCGTCGCCCTCCCTTCCGCCGTCGCCATCCCTTCCGCCCGTCGCTCTCCCTTCCGCCGTCGGTGTCCCTTCCGCCCGTCGCCCGTCGCCATGCCGCCTTCCGCCTGTCGCCCTCCCTTCCGCCGTCGCCATCCCTTCCGCCCGTCGCCCGTCGCCATGCCTTCCGCCCGTCACCCTCCCTTCGTCTCGTTGCCCTCCCTTCGTCTCGTCGCCCTCCCTTCGTCTCGTCGCCATCCCTTCGTCTCGTCGCCCTCCCTTCCTCCTATTGCTCCCCCGACCACCCGCCGCGCTCCCTTCTGCCCGTTGCCCCTCTTTGTCTCGTCGCGCTCCCTGCTGCTCATCGCCCTCCCTCCCGCTCGTCCCCTCGCAATCCCCACATCTCTCTCCCCTCGTTACACTGGCATCTCCATCACGCTCGCCATCCCTCCCATCTCCCTTCCCAACTCAGGCGGACCAGTCACGCCCCCTTTCCAACCCGCACACACGATGGCCCTTCCCCTAATGATCGCCTTTCACCTCCACACCGCTTACCTCTCTCCTTCCCCATGTCCCCTTCCCTTCTTCCCCCCATCCCCTTCCCTGCTTCCCCATGTCCCCTTCCCTGCTTCCCCATGTCCCCTTACCTGCTTCCCCGTGTCCCCTTCGCTGCTTCCCCCCATCCCCCTCCCGACGTCTCCATGTCCCTTTTCCTGATTCCCCCCATCCCCTTCCCTGGTTCCCCATGTCCCCTTCCGTGCTTCCCCGTGTCCCTTTCCCTGCTTCCCCCCATCCCCTTCCCTATTAGCCCCCAGCCTATTCCCTGCTTCCCCATGTCCCCTTCCCTACTTCCCCCAACTCCCTTCTCTGCTTCCCCCCATCCCCCTCCCTGCGTCCCCATGTCCCTTTTCCTGATTCCCCCCATCCCCTTCCCTATTAACCCCCATGTCCCCTTCCGTGCTTCCCATTGTCCCTTTCCCTGCTTCCCCCCATCTCCTTCCCTACTACCCCCCATCCCCTTCCCTGCTTCCCCGTGTCCCTTTCCCTGCTTCCCCCCCTTCCTTGCTTCCCCATGTCCCTTTCCCTGCTTTCCCCCATCCCCTTCCCTGCTTCCCCCCATCCCCTTCCCGCCTTCCCCATGTCCCCTTCCCTGCTTCCCCCCATCCCCTTCCCGCCTTCCCCATGTCCCCTTCCCCGCTTCCCCCCACGCCCTTCTTTGCTAAAACCCATCCCCCTCCCTGCTTCCCCATGTCCCTTTCCCTGCTTCCTCCCATCCCCTTCCCTTCTTCCCCATCCCCCTTCCTTGCTTCCCCATGTCCCCTTCCCTGCTTCCCCATGTCCCTTTCCCTGCTTCCCCCCATCCCCTTCCCTTCTTCCCCCCATCCCCTTCCCTTATATTTTCCCATCCCCTGCCTACTTCCCCGTGTCCCTTTCCCTGCTTCCCCACGTCCCTTTCCCTGCTGCCCCCCATCCCCTTCTCTTCTTCCCTCCCTCCCCTTCCCTGCTTCCCCCCATCTCCTGAACCTGATTCCCCATGTCGCTTCCCCATGTCCCCTTCCCTGCTTCTCCATGTCCCCTTCCCTGCTTCTCCATGTCCCCTTCCCTGCTTCTCCATGTCCCCTTCCCTGCTTCCCCATGTCCTCGTCCCTGCTTCCCCACACGCCCTTCCCTGCTTCCCCCCATCCCCCTCCCTGCTTCCCCAGTCCCTTTCCCTGGTCCCCCCCGTCCCCTTCCCTGCTTCCCCATGTCCCCTTCCCTGCTCCCCCCCACTCCTTTCTCTGCTTCCCCCCATCCCCCTCCCTGCGTCCCCATGTCCCTTTTCCTGATTCCCCCCATCCCCTTCCCTATTACCCCCCATGTCCCCTTCCCTGCTTCCCCGTGTCCCTTTCCCTGCTTTCCCCCATCCCCTTCCCTGCTTCCCCCCATCCCCTTCCCTGCTTCCCCCCATCCCCTTCCCGCCTTCCCCATGTCCCCTTCCCTGCTTCCCCCTACGCCCTTCTCTGCTAAAACCCATCCCCCTCCCTGCTTCCCCATGTCCCTTTCCCTGCTTCCCCCCATCCCCTTCCCTGCTTCCCCGTGTCCCCTTCCTTGCTTCCCCCCACTCCCTTCTCTGCTTTCCCCCATCCCATTCCCTGCTTCCCCATGTCCCTTTCCCTACTTCCCCCCATCCCCTTCCCTCCTTCCCCCCATCCCCTTCCCTTGCGTTGCGCCTCTGTACTCTCTTCATCGCCTGCGTGCACCTCGTCTCCACCCCGTTATCGTTTCCTGCGCCCAACCCACCGAGGCAAAGTCTGCCCGATTCCGCTTCCTGCAGCATCACCATCGTGCACTGCATCCTCGTTGTCAGTTGTTGGGTTAGTCTCTGTTGGGTCCGAACCACCCATGCCATCATCTCTTGGTGAACAACAATATTGGAAGGAAACATGACTGAGTAACCAAACAACTTGGGCATTTAAAACTTCTCTTATACGAGCGTTCTTACCAGGGAATTCGTCAGCATTGGCCCACGGGGTTGTCCCACCAATCGACCGTGAGACATCGCCTGCACCTGCATGTGCGTACACAATGAATGCACTTGCCACCCACGAGGGTCGAGCGCCATGCACTGGATGCAAATCGTAACTCCAAAGCTCCACATCCGGCCACTACATGTCAACTTGTGTATTGCCCAATTCCTCCTCGTCAACCACTTCATCGATCGTAGTGGTTCGCACATCTCCTGTTGGGCCAGATCGCACCTCAGCATAAGCCACAGGGACATCTACAACCCCATGTTCCCCCCCCACTCGTTGCACCTTTCTCAGCTCCGGAAACTTCCACTTGGCCGCATCGGGTGTCATGTGCACGTAGGCAATGGTGCCCATGGCTGTGCAGACCGATTTCACAAGAGCCGATTTGAGTGATGCCTTCGCCTCCTTCTCCAAACCCCGTTCACGCAACCATTGCCGCAGCCCTTCCACCGTAGCCAACCACATCTCCTCAATACAAGTTGCCTTGTCCACGGCTACTGGTGTCAGAATATATTTGCTGTCTAGCCTGCAGTGGGGTACTCTGTAATGAGTACAACCCAATTTAGGGCAATGTACTTGTATCCCAACTCTTGCTAGTCACTTCACTTCCCTTCCAATTTCTCGACTCTCACCTAACCCACTCGAACTTACCTATCTCCTAGTGTGGGCCTAGGCTACTAAGCCTAGGCCCCACACCTAATATTTTCACATGTTATCAGAGCCCGTTATATCTTGGCCTGTGGGCCCCTATGCTTCCGCTGCAGTCCTTCTTCCTGCCGCGCGCGGAGCGCGCGGCGAAATTTTTTTAGGATTTCGGAGTTTTTCATCCCGCCGTGCGCTCGGGGCGCGCGGCGGTTTTCCCGTCCTTCGAAGCGCCCTCGGGGGGCCTGCGCGCTGCCCTCCCCGCTGCTCGTCGCGACGCCCGTGCGGGACCCGCGCGGCGTCACCCTGCTCGTCGCGACGTCCGTGCGGGACCCGCGGGGCGTCGCCCCTGCTCGTCGCGACGTCCGTGCGGGACCCGCGCGGCGCCGCCCTACTTGTCGCGACGTCCGTGCGGGACCCGCGGGGCGTCGCCCCTGCTCGTCGCGACGTCCGTGCGGGACCCGCGGGGCGTCGCCCCTGCTCGTCGCGACGCCCCATGCGGGACCCGCGGGGCGCCGTCAGTTCCTGCAGCAGCAGCCGCCGCCGCCCTGCAGCAGCAGCCGCCGCCAGGCCTACAGCAGCACCCGTCGCCAGGGTCTGCAGCAGCAGCCGCCGCCAGAGCCTGCAGCAGCAGCCGCCGCCAGAGTCTGCAGCAGCAGCCGCCGCCAGAGTCTACAGCAGCAGCCGCCGCCAGAGTCTGCAGCAGCAGCCGCCGCCAGACCTGCAGCAGCTGCCGCCACCGACCCAGCAGCAGCAGCCGCCGCTCTATCAGCAGCAGCAGCCGCCGCCGCTCTGCCGCAGCAGCTACCGCCGCCCAGCTGCAGGTGCCGCCCCTGGACCCCAGAAGCCGCCCCTGGACCCGGTACGCCTTGTGCTACCCGTGCCTGTGCTGCCCGTGCCTGTGCTGCCCGTGCCTGTGCTGCCCGTGCCTGTGCTGCCTGTGCCTGTTGCTGCCCGTGCCTGTTGCTGCCCGTGCCTGTGCTGCCCGTGCCTGTGCTGCCCGTGCCTGTGCTGCCCGTGCCTGTGCTGCCCGTGCCTGTGCTGCCCGTGCCTGTGCTGCCCGTGCCTGTTGCTGCCCGTGCCTGTGCTGCCCGTGCCTGTGCTGCCCGTGCCTGTGCTGCCCGTGCCTGTGCTGCCTGTGCCTGTTGCTGCCCGTGCCTGTGCTGCCCGTGCCTGTGCTGCCCGTGCCTGTGCTGCCCGTGCCTGTGCTGCCCGTGCCTGTTGCTGCCCGTGCCTGTGCTGCCCGTGCCTGTGCTGCCTGTGCCTGTTGCTGCCCGTGCCTGTGCTGCCCGTGCCTGTGCTGCCCGTGCCTGTGCTGCCCGTGCCTGTTGCTGCCCGTGCCTGTGCTGCCCGTGCCTGTTGCTGCCCGTGCCTGTGCTGCCCGTGCCTGTGCTGCCTGTGCCTGTTGCTGCCCGTGCCTGTGCTGCCCGTGCCTGTGCTGCCCGTGCCTGTGCTGCCCGTGCCTGTTGCTGCCCGTGCCTGTGCTGCCCGTGCCTGTGCTGCCCGTGCCTGTGCTGCCCGTGCCTGTTGCTGCCCGTGCCTGTGCTGCCCGTGCCTGTGCTGCCCGTGCCTGTGCTGCCCGTGCCTGTGCTGCCTGTGCCTGTTGCTGCCCGTGCCTGTTGCTGCCCGTGCCTGTGCTGCCCGTGCCTGTGCTGCCCGTGCCTGTGCTGCCCGTGCCTGTGCTGCCCGTGCCTGTGCTGCCCGTGCCTGTGCTGCCCGTGCCTGTTGCTGCCCGTGCCTGTGCTGCCCGTGCCTGTGCTGCCCGTGCCTGTGCTGCCGTGCCTGTGCTGCCTGTGCCTGTTGCTGCCCGTGCCTGTGCTGCCCGTGCCTGTGCTGCCCGTGCCTGTGCTGCCCGTGCCTGTGCTGCCCGTGCCTGTTGCTGCCCGTGCCTGTGCTGCCCGTGCCTGTGCTGCCTGTGCCTGTTGCTGCCCGTGCCTGTGCTGCCCGTGCCTGTGCTGCCCGTGCCTGTGCTGCCCGTGCCTGTTGCTGCCCGTGCCTGTGCTGCCCGTGCCTGTTGCTGCCCGTGCCTGTGCTGCCCGTGCCTGTGCTGCCTGTGCCTGTTGCTGCCCGTGCCTGTGCTGCCCGTGCCTGTGCTGCCCGTGCCTGTGCTGCCCGTGCCTGTTGCTGCCCGTGCCTGTGCTGCCCGTGCCTGTGCTGCCCGTGCCTGTGCTGCCCGTGCCTGTTGCTGCCCGTGCCTGTGCTGCCCGTGCCTGTGCTGCCCGTGCCTGTGCTGCCCGTGCCTGTGCTGCCTGTGCCTGTTGCTGCCCGTGCCTGTTGCTGCCCGTGCCTGTGCTGCCCGTGCCTGTGCTGCCCGTGCCTGTGCTGCCCGTGCCTGTGCTGCCCGTGCCTGTGCTGCCCGTGCCTGTGCTGCCCGTGCCTGTTGCTGCCCGTGCCTGTGCTGCCCGTGCCTGTGCTGCCCGTGCCTGTGCTGCCCGTGCCTGTGCTGCCTGTGCCTGTTGCTGCCCGTGCCTGTGCTGCCCGTGCCTGTGCTGCCCGTGCCTGTGCTGCCCGTGCCTGTGCTGCCCGTGCCTGTTGCTGCCCGTGCCTGTGCTGCCCGTGCCTGTGCTGCCTGTGCCTGTTGCTGCCCGTGCCTGTGCTGCCCGTGCCTGTGCTGCCCGTGCCTGTGCTGCCCGTGCCTGTTGCCCGTGCCTGTGCTGCCCGTGCCTGTTGCTGCCCGTGCCTGTGCTGCCCGTGCCTGTGCTGCCTGTTGCTGCCCGTGCCTGTGCTGCCCGTGCCTGTGCTGCCCGTGCCTGTGCTGCCCGTGCCTGTTGCTGCCCGTGCCTGTGCTGCCCGTGCCTGTGCTGCCCGTGCCTGTGCTGCCCGTGCCTGTTGCTGCCCGTGCCTGTGCTGCCCGTGCCTGTGCTGCCCGTGCCTGTGCTGCCCGTGCCTGTGCTGCCTGTGCCTGTTGCTGCCCGTGCCTGTTGCTGCCCGTGCCTGTGCTGCCCGTGCCTGTGCTGCCCGTGCCTGTGCTGCCCGTGCCTGTGCTGCCCGTGCCTGTGCTGCCCGTGCCTGTGCTGCCCGTGCCTGTTGCTGCCCGTGCCTGTGCTGCCCGTGCCTGTGCTGCCCGTGCCTGTGCTGCCCGTGCCTGTGCTGCCTGTGCCTGTTGCTGCCCGTGCCTGTGCTGCCCGTGCCTGTGCTGCCCGTGCCTGTGCTGCCCGTGCCTGTGCTGCCCGTGCCTGTTGCTGCCCGTGCCTGTGCTGCCCGTGCCTGTGCTGCCTGTGCCTGTTGCTGCCCGTGCCTGTGCTGCCCGTGCCTGTGCTGCCCGTGCCTGTGCTGCCCGTGCCTGTTGCTGCCCGTGCCTGTGCTGCCCGTGCCTGTGCTGCCCGTGCCTGTGCTGCCCGTGCCTGTTGCTGCCCGTGCCTGTGCTGCCCGTGCCTGTGCTGCCCGTGCCTGTGCTGCCCGTGCCTGTGCTGCCTGTGCCTGTTGCTGCCCGTGCCTGTGCTGCCCGTGCCTGTGCTGCCCGTGCCTGTGCTGCCCGTGCCTGTTGCTGCCCGTGCCTGTTGCTGCCCGTGCCTATGCTGCCCGTGCCTGTGCTGCCCGTGCCTGTGCTGCCCGTGCCTGTTGCTGCCCGTGTCTCGTGCTCGCGCCCCCGTGCGCTCTGCTACTGTCTGCGCCCTCGTGCGCACTGGCCCCCCCCCCCCCCCCCCCCCCCCCGTTTGCGGGTGTGGGGGTGCTCCGTTTGTGTCTCCCCTTCCTTCTCCTCCTCCGTCGTCTCCCACTGCTGCAGCTGTCGCTGAGGGGGGTGGTTGTGTGGGAGACTGGGGTTTAGGGTTTTAGGGGGGTGCGTGGGAGTGGAGCTAGGGGTGTAGCAGCGGGTGTGTGTCAGGGGGGTGGGACTGTTTGTGGGAGGTTGAGCGGAGGCTGCCGTCTTGTAGTCCGCAGCACCTGTAGTCCGGGGCGCTGTCCTGGTAGCCCAGTGAGCCTGCTGCGCCTGTCGCCCGTGGGTCCGTTGCTCCTGCCGCTCTTCGTAGCCGCCGAGCCAGTTACTCCAGTAGTCCGGGGCGCTGTCCCGGTAGCCACTGTGCCAGCCGCTCCTGTTGCCCGTGTGTCTGCAGCTTCAGCAGACGCCTCCCATCTCCTCTCCTCTCACTCTCCCTCCTCCTCCTCACCTGCCCGTTGTGACCACCACTAGCTTTGCTGATAATTGTGCACTTTAACTATTGCTTCTTGAACTTGTGCTCAGAATGTGTGGTGACATTGTGATCCACCCTGAGCTTGTACTGCTTTGCCTGCTCTGCTGATTTCACCCCACTTTGGCTATGGGGGTGTGTCAGAATATATTTGCTGTCTAGCCTGCAGTGGGGTACTCTGTAATGAGTACAACCCAATTTAGGGCAATGTACTTGTATCCCAACTCTTGCTAGTCACTTCACTTCCCTTCCAATTTCTCGACTCTCACCTAACCCACTCGAACTTACCTATCTCCTAGTGTGGGCCTAGGCTACTAAGCCTAGGCCCCACACCTAATATTTTCACAACTGGTACCCGCACGGCATCCTGAAGCTCTTTGCAGAAAAGCTTGTACAATGTTTTCTTCATGTGCCACCAATCCACCTGATGGTTCAGTTTCTGCTCTGACGCAGCACCTTTAAATGTCGTTCTTTGGTCCGAAATGATTCCTTCCACATCAAATCCCAACAGCGCCAGCTCATCAACTCCTTTGTTGAACGCAACCCGCTCCAAACGCACAGATGACGTATCATGAACCCCCTTTCTTGTTGTCACACAGTACAATATCTTCCGCGTAACAACATCCATGAATGACACGGTACACCACTCGCCCTCTCGGACATGTGACCACCGACCGTCTACTGTTACCCATTCCCCAGGAATGTCTCGTTTCTTCATCTCTTCTCGCACCGCTGCCATCGATTTCTCCGCCTCCCTAAGAATCGTGCTCCACAACCCATTATCGTCCCCTAGATACTTATAGAAAGTTCCTTTTTCGGGACACGGGATACCAAAATTGCGGCTGATTTCCCACCTCGGTTGATAACCCATCCCGGCAAGCACAAATGCTCCTACGAATTTAGAATGGAGCATAGGCACTCGTGCCCCGACGCCATCTCTTCTTTTCTCAACGGTCCGATTGGTGCATGACCAGAATTCCACACTGTGGGAGCACGCATCACATCTCCAGAACATGCCTAATGATGCCCATGAAAATTTCCATGACCTCAAAAACATGGCTCCTCCGCATGTCTGTTGATGCGAGCACACCAACCGACATCCCTTGAAGAATCCAACAAGAGTACGCTGTTCGACGAGACATACCCGTTGTTCAGAAATCTCATCGACATTTGGTGAGGTAGGCCAGTGCCTAGGGACTGTTGCACGCGCGATCGGACGCGGTTGCCTGCGACATGGCGAGAGGTGGTGCACATATCAGAAGAAAAACAAACGCATAAGAGGTTGGATGTCAGATTCTTTGTTGGGCTGATTTGCATGGAATGGGAAACGCGTCAACCACATCCTCAAACATGATAGATGCTTACATGTCCTCTGGCGTGCCTGTTGTCGCCATTGGCATCGGTGCTGGCAGCGGTGTGTTGACGGGGGTAGACTGTATGCACACCCGATTGACTGCTCGATTGTCGGCGCTGACCTGCCCCATTGGATCAGGTGAATCCGTAACAACATCCACCACATCACGGTCCGCTGACTCAGAGCCGGCCCTCAGCCCGAGAACACCTGTAGTATATCGAGAGCAATAAGATAAGCTACAACTTGTGGAGTGGAATAGGAAAGACCAAAGGCGCACAGTGCGTAGACATCTTTCTGATGGTGAATCTTTCAAATGCATGCAGCTGATTACCTTCCTAGCACTGGAGGGAAAATGCCTTTCCACGCCTTGCTCCTCCCCAAGATAGGCCCTTCACAGGTTTAGGTTTCCCGCGATGATCGAGCTTCATAATCGGAAAGGAAAACTTGACGTCTGGCAGCACTCGATTTGGCCGTCCCAGTAGATCTGTAATCTTTTCGTAGCCTCCATGAACGCGCCCTCTGAAAGTGCGACTTTACTCTTGACGGTGCATCTCGAGCATGGCGCCGATTTGCGTGCTCTCCGAGTCGGGATCTGGGTGTCATGTGGGTTCAAATATGAAGGTGCACACAGTACTCGTATTCACTGAAATGAACCATGCAACTAATATGTGTTGACACAAAACCATTCTTCAACTTACCTGCGGCTAGTCCAGCTGAAATGAGTCGAAGCGTGGCACCTGGTGCTGCCTCTGCCAAGAAATAAATAACGTCGTCGGGTATCACCATAGCCTCGCCAACGAACAAAGCGGACAATCCCACATGTAGCACGCACAACAGAGGCCGCATATGCTTTAGTATGTTCGCGCTGCCCTTCGTGGCATCCTTGCATGCTTGCGCTGCTGGATATACACTCGATCTACTCACATTGGACATACTGGGAATACGGGGAAGCAGGGAAGGAGATTGGGGAAGCAAGGTAGGGGACATGGGGAAGCAGGGAAGGGGACATGGGGAAGCAGGGAAGGGGACACGGGGAAGCAGGGAAGAGGACACGGGGAAGCAGGGAAGGGGACATGGGGAAGCAGGAAAGGGGGCATGGGGAGGCGGGGAAGGGGACACGGGGAAGCAGGGAAGGGGACATGGGGAAGCAGGGAAGGGGACATGGGGAAGCAGGGAAGGGGACATGGGGAAGCAAGGAAGGGGACATGAGGAAGCAAGGAAGGGGACATGGGGAAGCAGGGAAGGGGATTGGGGGAAGCAGGGGGGGGGACACGGGGAAGCAGGGAAGGGGACACTGGGAAGCAAGGAAGGGGACATGGGGAAGCAGGGACGGGGACATGGGGAAGCAGGGAAGGGGACATGGGGTAGCAGGGAAGGGGACATGGGGAAGCAGGGAAGGGGACATGGGGAAGCAGGGAAGGGGACATGGGGAAGCAAGGGAGGGGACATGGGGAAGCAGAGAAGGGGACATGGGGAAGCAAGGAAGGGGACATGGGGAAGCAAGGAAGGGGACATGGGGAAACAAGGAAGGGGACATGGGGAAGTAAGGAAGGGGACATGGGGAAGCAAGGAGGGGGAGACATGGGGAAGCAAGGAAGGGGACATGTGGAAGCAAGGAGGAGGACATGGGGAAGCAGGGAAGGGGACATGGGGAAGCAAGGAAGGGGACATGGGGAAGCAAGGAAGGGGACATGGGGAAGCAAGGAAGGGGACACGGGGAAGAAGGGAAGGGGACATGGGGAAGCAAGGAGGAGGACAAGGGGAAGCTCTTGAACAAGAATGAATGAACTAAGAGTGAAATGAGTACAAGTATCAAAACCTAGGAATGTGTACCCCCTATAGGCTAACCCACTGTGGCCTAAACAACTACAACAACATATATAATGTTTCACACACCCCCATAGGCGAAGTGGGGAGAACTAGGGGTCACAAGACCAGTCAAGTAAAGCAAAACAAAGCAAGCTCAGGGTGGATCACAACGTCACCACACAATCCGAGCACAAGTGCAAGGCCACAAGGCCAGTTCACATGCAGGAATACAGATATATATATATAAGACTAAACAAGCAAGAGCAGTGATATATATATGTAACAGTACAAAGAGGGTCAAGAGGAGAGCAAGTGAGGCAAGACAGACACAAGACCCAGCTGGGTACAGCACCGCTGATGATCACAAGGCAGAAGTGCCTTGGTGAAGACATCAGCAGTGTTGGCCTCAGAGGCCACGTACGCAAGTCGCAAATGACCACGCTGCTGTAGCTCACGAGCAAGGAAGTAGCGGAGAGCAATGTGCTTTGTTCTGTGCTCCAATCTCTGCTCCCGACACAAGGCCAGCATGGCCTTGTTGTCGACGTACAGGACTGGAGGAGAACGAGGCGGCTCTCCAAAGTCGGTCAGCAGGTAGGTGAGCCAGCGAAGCTCCTGAGCAGCCATGGCCCCTGCGTAGATCTCAGCCTCACAACTGGAGCCAAGAACAGAAGACGAGCGAGTAGCCCGCCACGAAACAGAGCCGGAACCAAGGCTGAAGGTGTAACCCTGTGACGACCGCTGCGTAGCCTGGTCGTCAGCCCAAGAAGCGTCTGCGTGTCCACTGAGGACCACTGGACTCCGCCCTCCAAGCACTAGCCCCATGCCCGACGTACTGCACAAGTAGCGCAACACCCTCTTCGCTGCAGCCATGTGCTCTGGTCGGTGTCTCCCAGGAGCAACATAGCGTGCAAGAATGCTAAGAGGGTATGCAAGGTCAGGTCGTGTGCAGGTCATCAGGTATATGAGACAGCCAACAAGCTCTGGGTACGGGCCACTCGACTCTACGGACTCATCCGAAGGCAGAGCTGAGAGCGAGTGGCGAGTAGGCAGAGGAGTGGCCTGAGGCGAGGAGTACGTGAAGCCGAAGCGCTGAAGGACCTGCTGCACCATGTGTGACTGAGTCAGGGTAATGGTGCGGCGTGCTCTGTCCCGGGTGATCTGCAAGCCAAGGTAGCTGCGCAGTTCACCCAGGTCAGTGCACGTGTGTCTCTTCTGCAGCTCGGACTTCACGTAGGCGAGTCCAGTAGTGTCAGCTGTGGCAAAGACCAAGTCGTCGACGTACACGAGGATGTAGAACGGCGGCAGAGAGGTGTCGGTGCGCAGAAACAGCGACGGGTCGGCAGTAGACGGAGCGAACCCAAGAGCCGCAAGCGTAGTCCTCAGTGTGTCGTGCCACTCGCGTGGCACCTGGCGCAGACCGTAGACTGGACGCCGGAGACTCCACTGGGTACCAGGAGGGAAAGACCCAGTGAAGCCAGGTGGGCAGCGCAGCCAGATCTCCTCGTGCAGGCTGCCCTGCAGGAAAGCTGTGCTGAAGTCGAGAGAGTGCAGCTCGTAGTCCCGGTGAGCAGCAACGTGCAGCAGTACCCGAAGAGTGGTCATCTTCGGGGTGGGGGAGAAGGTCTGAAAGTAGTCAACTCCCTGTCGCTGACTGAAGCCACGAGCCACGTAACGCGCCTTGAAGACAGGCGGAGAACCCGGCGGCCGCTTCACCCTGAAGATCCACATGCCACTGACGATGTTCGCCCCAGGAGGGGGGACCGCGTCAACCTAGGTGCCTGTGGACTTCCAGGAAGCCATCTCTGCATCCATAGCTGCCTCCCACTGAGAGGAGTAGGGACCCTCTATCGCCTCCGCGAAAGAGCGCGGAGTCGGGATGTCAAGTGTATCCGGGTCTCCCTCAGGGGTAAGCAGTACGGACACGAGATGAGGTGAAGCAGCTGCCACACACTGGAACTCCTCCTGCCTGTCCTCAAGGACGTCCGTGCCAAGGGCACACTCACCCCCGACGGACGGAGGACAGACAGACTCAGACTCAGCGACAAGACTAGCAGCGTAGTCTAAGCGACAGCAAGCAGCAAAGTCGACGAGCTCAGTAACGAGAGCAGACGCAGCAGTAGACTCGAAAGAAGGGTCAGTGACAACAGTAGCAAGGAGACGCGTCACAGTAGGACTGGCAGCACGAAGAGAGTCCGACTCAGGGTCGGCGAGAGCAGGAAGAGAGGACGCAGGAGGAGAAGGCAAAGGGGCACGCAGCGGAGCAGTAGACGGACGTAGAGACATCCGGTGCGTGCCAGGGGCAGGAGGAGGACGCTGGCGCGAACTACGAGCACTAGCGCTAGCAGGACGGACAGGCGACGCCGGACGAGACGCAGACTCACGACGCTCAGTAAGACCGCCAGTAGGACCAGTGTAAGGAGAAGGAGCAGGTAGTGGGGAGGCCGGCTGCAACTGTAACTGTGACGGGACAGGCTGTGAACACGCTAAGGGAGGAGGACCAGGAGGAGGCGAGAGACCAAGAACCTGCTGAAGGAGCGGAACGAAGTACGGCTGAGGGCGCGCGGCGACTCCAGACACAGCAGGGACAGCACCTGTACCCCCAGCGGCAGTACCAGAACCAGCAGGGACAGCACCTGTACCCCCAGCGGCAGTACCAGAACCAGCAGCAGCTCCAACGCCCAGGTCCTCAGTACTAGCCTCAGCACCAACGCCCGAGTCCTCAGCACCAGCAGTGGCTCCAACACCAGGTTCCACAGCACCTGCCGCAGCTTCAACGCCCGGGTCCTCAGCACCAGCAGGGACTCCGACACCAGGGTCCACAGCACCAGCCCCAGCTCCAACGCCAGGGTCCGCAGCACAAGCCGCAGCCCCAACGCCGGGGTCCTCAGCACCAGCGCCACCTCCAACCCTCGGGTCCGCAGCACCAGCAGCAGCTCCAACGCCAGGGTCCGCAGCACCAGCAGCAGCTCCAACACCCGGGTCCGTAGCACCAGGGGCAGCCGGGTCCGTGAGACGAGGCGCACCACTCCGAAGTGTGCAACGGCGCTCGTACCACTTACGGATCCGCTCACGAGAGGGGAGCTCCCGACTAGGAGGAGAAGTACCAGCCCCAGTCCCTGTAGTGCGCCTGGTCCCAGAGGTAACACTCCGGAGGCTGCAGTACTGAAAGTACCACTCACGCAACTGCTCCGAGGAGAGGTCGCGTCCACGTGTAGCACCCTCAGGCCTAGCACCGCAAGGCTCAGCACCCCCAGTCACCGCACCCCCAGGCTCAGTACCCCCAGGCTCAGTACCCCCAGTGTCCGCACCCCCAGGCTCAGCACCCCCAGAGTCCGCACCCCCAGGCTCAGCACCCCCAGAGTCAGCACCCCCAGGCTCAGCACCCCCAGTCTCCGCACCCCCAGGCTCAGCACCCCCAGCAGGACGAGAGTCGACAGCAACCTCAACAAGCTCGACCGGGTCTACCTGAGACACACCTGAGGGAGCGGCACCCTGAGGGGGGAGGGGGTATACGACAGCAGCACCTGGCGCGAGGAAGAGAGGCGGGGGTGGGAGCGGGGCAGTGCGGTAGGGAAAGAGGCGGTAGTAGGGGACAGACTCGTCAAAAGTGACGTCCTGAGAGGGCAAGACCCGGCGCGAGGTGGCGTGGTAAAACTGCCAACCAGGCGCGTCTGGAACAAAGCCGAGGAAGACGCAGGGAACAGCACGAGAGGAGAGCTTGTCCGCAGACGAATCGCGGACAAAAGCTCGAGATCCCCAGACCCGGAAACGCGACGCATCGCCAACCTCCCCCGTCCACAGCAGTGTGGGCGAGGTCTCTGGCAAGGAGACACGGGGCCAGAGGTTGAGCTGATGCGCAGCGTACCGGACCGCAAACGGCCACAGAAAGTGGGGGGCAGCCGCATGGATCAAGGAGGTACGAGCGACCTCCATGACCAGGCCAATGCGGCGCTCCGCAACCCCATTCTGCTGTGGAGAGGCCGGAAGCGTGAACGACTGCTCAATGCCGTGCTCAGCACAGTAGGCTGCCAAGAGGTCGGAGGAGAACTCACCACCTCTGTCAGAGTGCAAGCGCAGGACAGGAAAGTCCGAGCGGAAACGCTCGCTGAGCTGGAGACGAGCTCTGCGGATCCAAGGGATCAAAACATCAGGGACCTCACCCTTGGCTCGCAAGGGGAAGACCATGGTGTAGCGCGAGTAGTCGTCAACAACGATCAGGAAGTACCTCTCCTGACCCTGACCACGGACGCGGGCTGGGCCCCACACGTCCATGTGGAGCGTCTGCAAAGGAGCAGTCGTCGGGGGAAACGAGGAGGAGTGAGGAGCGGCGCGCTGCCGCCCCTCGACACAGGGAAGACAGGGAGGAGCAGGCGAGGGTGGGAGGGGAGGGAGGACCCTGGGAAGACCAGAGACAAGGTACCGGGAGTGCATGGCACCAAGGCGCTGCACAGACGGGTGGCCCGGTCGGTGGTGCCAGAGGACAGTCTCGTGCGCTAGAGAGCGACACGAGCAGGGGGCGGACAGCTGACCTGACGGGGACGCAGACGCAGACGCAGCGACCTGAGGGGGGGCAGTAGTCAGTGTGTACAGATCCGACCCCGGCTGCCGGGTGAAGGTAGCCAAGTGGCGGCCTGTACGGGCACACGTGCAGTGTGTGACATGCTCGTAGGCAGGGGTGAACTGGTGAACACCCGCGTCCTGTAGTGCACAACCTGCCACCAAGTTCGTAGAGAACGAGGGGAGGTGGAGACCTGACAGTGTGCCCGACAGGACCACAGGACAGGGAAGGACAGTGGAGGAGGTCGCAAGGACCGGACCCCCAGAGGGGTCAGCGAGGGAGACAGCAACTGGCCGAGCAAGGGGCTCAAGGGCAGTGCGGTCACGAAAGAAACAGCGAGAGGCACCTGAATCCAGTGTGAAGGTGTGCAGTGCTGCAGTCGACACAGTACTAGGGGGGGCAGACGTACACGCACC